CATTAGAGGTTAAGAAGGAGCCTGCTACTCTGATCCTAAGGGAGGCACTCATGAAAGGTGGATGGCTATGGCCATTTATTAGCTAATTTGAAGGTCGCATTGCACATCAAGAAATATATTAATAAGTTTTGATATCTTTGTGTTTCGCTTAATTATAGCTTCTTGCCTTTAGAAGCATCAATGGATCAATGTCTATGGTCTCACTACTTTGTCTTCATTTCAATGGTATAATTTCTCCTAGATTATATTGTTATTATGAGAAGTAAAAATTGTTTGTTCTAGCATTTCATTGTTGAGAGAAAATTATATTTTCTTTTAATAGTATTTAAAAAAGTTTTTGTTATGTTTCTTTTTTCCTTGAATGTAGTTCCAAGGTTCACAAAAGCATGGATAGAGCAATGGTTTAGATCTAACTACCTTGCTATGAAATTCATAAATAAAATGTTGTTAGTTGTTGGTATGAATTCATATCTTTTTTCTCAATTTTGATGGTGCAATTTATCTTATGCTTGGTTTAATGATTATTCATTATTAAATACTAAGTTAAACATTCATTTTGGTTATAGAGTTTCTTTTCGAGCTCATTAAGACATACACATGTTGTCCCTCGGTTTGTGAGTTCTTAGCAATTACAGGCATGCATTTCCGTTCTCTTTTTAATTCAGTAATTAATTTTTTTATCCATATCAAACATTTACTCAAATCATAACAATTGTCTATATATTCTAATATCGTTTGATTGTGCTTAAATTAATTTTGATTTTGAAGATAGCACTTAAATTAGATCGTGGCTAAATTCATTTACTACCATAGAAAATATCAAGAAATTCTAACATCAATTGATTACACCAAAGCCCAAAATTAGTTTGCATTTTATTATTTTATGCTTTGGTGATTAAAATTTGGAGTTGCTTTGGTGTTGGAAAAAATTGATTTTGAGCGCTTGAGCACAACCTTGCTCATCGATTAACACGTGTGTGATTGTACTAAGTTTCATTTTTTGTTTTTCGGTGCTTATACGTGTTGTGACAACATTCTTAATAGGCATACATAATAATAATAAAACATTTATTATTGCTCGTCATGATGAGTGGTTTTTGGTTATGGCTTTAGTTATTACATTAATATTTATACATTAAGAAATTGACTATTTTTTCTTTTTGGTGTGCATGTACTAATTTCCCCTATAAGAATTTCAATATTGCAGGTTAATATTCCCAAATTTTTATTCCTTAAGCATGCCTAAATACAACCAAAGCCTCATAAAGTGAGAAATGGGTTAATAGGGAGCTTGCTACTCTAATCTTAAGGGAAACACTCATGAAAGGTAGATGGTTATGGTGATTTATTAGCTAATTTGAAGGTTGCATTGCATGTCAATAAATATATTAATAAGTTTTAATATTTTTGTGTTTTCACTTAATTATAGCTTCTTGCCTTTAGAAGTACGAATGGATCAATGTCTATGGCCTCATTACTTTGCCTTCATTTCAATGGTATAATTTCTCCTAGATTATTCTATTACTACAGGGAGTAAAAATTGTTTGTCCTAGCATTTCATTGTTAAGAGAAAATTATATTTTCTTTTAATAGTATTTAACAAGTTTTTGTTATGTTTGTTTTCCTTAAATGAAGTTCCAAGATTCATAGAAGCATGGATGGATGATGTGAATCCAGTCGGGTAAAATTAAAGACTAACAAGCCCAAAGTCATATGATAAAGAAGGATTAATGGGCTGAAATTTAAGTAGTTTGGAATTGAATAATTAAATAAGTCTATTATTTTATTTTTGTTAATGTAATTTTTGTTTTATTAATTTTATTAAATAAGTTAGATGGCTTTCCAATTACCTAAGCCAGCTAACCTCACTCATTAGCGCTAGTATTCTTTATTTAGCCTCTTCAGGCTCCTAGTGAGGATTCTTTGACAAGCCTCTCTAGGCATTTACAAGTATTCCTTCCCTAGCCTCTTCAGGCTTTATAAATGATAAATAGATGATTTGGTTTGAGTGTTTGGTTTACTCTCACAAAGAGGATACAAATATTTTCTACACTCACTAAGGTGCATGTTCCTAAGTTACACTTAGAACACGTTATAGTCTACAGAAATAAATACATTATGATACATTTGACTCTATAAGCTCTGTCTCTGGTTTCATTGCTTCATGAGCTTGATATCACTCTTTGTCAACGTCAGCCTTTCAAGGTTTGAAGTTATGACATATATATAGTCTTCTAAAATTTGCCTGTTGCAAATGTCCGTTGAAGCAGAATGTAGTCGTTCATGACTAGTTTGATCTTTCATTTAATGCACAAGATCTTGCATTAAATGTTGCTTCCTGTTTATAGACATTGCGTGAAGTCTTCTTCGTTTTGTTAGTAGCAGTGTCTGACTTTAGCTGAGACCTAAGAACTTTTTGTCCTTTTCCGGTTGCGTAGCTATAGAACGTTGTCTTTATCTAAAAAAGTGATGTACTTTTTCTGACATGCTTTTGCTTTTGACTTGTTTTTCTTCTTCTTCTTTGTATTTTCCTTTAATCACGCGATCATGTTGAGAGCTTTCGTATGTTCGTAGACGATGCCTGAGTTGTCTCTTGAGACTTGATTTTTCAAATACTTGTATGGCAGTCTTCGTCTGTGTCTGTTAGTCCATGTGCATCTCAAGTCTTATCTCCGTCTGAGCATTAGTCATTAATGCTTTGACTTTCTTTGGTCTAGTCAACATTGTAGATGGACAAACTTTGTTTTCGTCTGGAATACTTTTCAGTCTATGTTGTCCTTCGTCTAATACGTGGTTGACTTTCTTCCGATTCTAGAGCAGCCTTCGTCTGAGTTCTCATGATGCGCTCTAGGTTGTGCTTGACATACCTTTGTCTGATATTTGATTCATTATTGTCTGGCGCACATTTCATATTTCATCTATCATTTGACTTTGTTTCGTGATGTGCTTTGCCTTGGCTTATCTTCGTTTGATACTTGAAGGAGTTCCGTCTTTGGTCTATACGGATTTCATTGAAAATTGGGTTGTTACAATATATTCATTTCAAAATACATTAAAATATGAACACTTGAATTACCTTCAAATTGTTGTTCAATTTTAACAAAATTTGATATACACGTATAAAGTGATATGAAATTTCAATCTAACGGTTGAATTTACAAAATTCACAATTAATATAAAGTTATTGAGCAGTATAATACTTAGTAAAAGTTACACCAGTGTAATTATAACCCTATATATAAAGGAAAATATATTTATAAGTTTTTTTAAGACACATATTTATACAAATTAAAATAATTCAAGTTTTTTTAAGACACGTATTTATACAAATTAAAATAATTCAAGACATTGTTGAATACATTTCTTTTACAGGATATATTATAAATATATATATATATATATATATATATATATATATCAATCATTCATCATCTTCACATCTCAATTCACATTTAACATATCTCATTTCACATACATATCTCAATCCATCATAATCCACACCAATTATACAATTTACAACATCATTTCCATATTCATAATTCATGTCAATCTTACAATTAACAATATCATTTCCACATCCATAATTCACACCAATCTTACAATTAACACTATGCCAAGACCTCGCCACATCTGACACAAGTGATACAGGTTAATTGCCTCCCACACCAAACCAGGGTCACGCCCTCCCTGTAGCATCACTTACCCAGGGGTCGTGCCATCCCTAGTCATTAAGGAGTACGCTCGTCCCTGAAGCATCACCTACCCAGGGTTCGTATCATCCCTGATCATCCGGGAGTACGCTCGTCCCTGAAACATCAACTACCAGGGTTCGTATCATCCTTGATCCTTTAGTGTGAGGAACCACAATCAAATTACAATCCATACAGTCTCTTGCAATTAACCCTATGCCAGGGCTGCCATAATCGACATAAGTGGTGTGTGTTAACTGTCTTACTCATCCCACATCATGCTAGGGTCACGCCCTCCCTGTAGCACCACTTACCCAGGGGCCGTGCCATCCCTAGTCATTAGTGTGAGGAAACACATCGCAATCACATTCTTAATCATGTCCATACAACATCTCATCTCATATCACGATTCCATATCACATACACAATTCCATATCACATACACAACAGATAAGTCTAACAAAATAAGGATTTACACATCCCTCAAGCAATTCACATTTAAATCATCAATTCTTATTAAATAATATAATAACATTCATAAATTAATATAATAAACAATAGAATTATCAATTTAATATAATTTTAACATAAACAGTAAAATCCCCAATTGTTCCAAAACCTAGCTCACAGGCACTTTTCTACAATTTCGTTCTCTCTCCCAGATCATCATTCTTACAAATTATTAGCATATTTATAATCCTCAACATATACAAAATCTAATGGGATCATCAATTCCTCAAACAGAAATCATCCAATTTTTCACAACCTAACTTACAGGCATTTTTCTATAATTTCGTTCTCTCTTCCAGAGCATCATTTTTACAAATAAATCATATATTCGTAGTCTTAAAGATATACAGAATCACATAAGACAATTAATTCTCCAAACATAAATAATTATAAATTACTCATAACCCTAAGGTCTCTTCCTCTACCCAATTCCCTCATGTAACTGTACATATAAATAATCCATTTTTCCCCCGTACCTGGATAAATAGGAACTAGGGCAAAACCTCCTCCTCTTTTTCCTTAAACAGGGACCGGAACTAAAACTAGGGTAGAATCTCCTCCTCTAGATTGCATATAAAGTTATTGAGCAGTATAATACTTAGTAAAAGTTACACCAGTGTAATTATAACCCTATATATAAAGGAAAATATATTTATAAGTTTTTTTAAGACACATATTTATACAAATTCTGTTTGAGAAGAATCGCACTACACTTTTTTTTACAAAAAATATATATTTGAGGGGGGGGTTTAGGTTTAGGGTATAGAAGTAGAAGAAAAATAGAATAGAGGGGGAAGTGCGGAGAGTTGGGTGAGAATGGGAATAGCAGGTAGGGTTGGGGAAGTGCTTTCAAGGCATTCACCGCCACACTCGGAATCGCCACCATTTACCTCACCGCCACCTTCTCCGTCAACGTTTACAGAGGCCTCTCTTGGCACAATGCTCAAACCGTAATCTCTCTCCATTTTTTCGTTATCTCTCTGTTACTCTGCTTATTGCTTCAATCTAGGTTTTATGGTCCGTGCCTGTGATTCGTATTGTTTGGACGCCTTTCTATTCATTGGATGATTGTTTTCCAATCAATTAACACTTCCTGCATCAATTCGTTCCTGCCTATAACCTAGCTTGTTGTTTTCGCTTTTCCTCGATTGTTCCTTTTTTCTGCAATTCTTGTTTTGTTCAATTTCTGAAAGGTATGTTCTAGCTTTTTGAGGATATGTAGGGGGATAAAACTAAAATGGTGCCAGCCCTCTCTTCCTCCGCGTACAAATCGCCAATACGCACGGCGCCTGAATTCATCAGCGTGGGCCTTCCACTGCACGAGTAAAGCTAGAATTTTGACCTGTATTCCTGGGATTATACATTATAATGATACTAAGATTCAGTTACTTGATCTTCCTAGAATTATTGAAGGTGCTTCTGAAGGCAAGGGACGTGGGAGGCAGGTAAAACTAAAATTTCTCTGTCCCGAGTAGAATGTGATGTTTGGTTCTTTTCATTGAATGCTTTGGAAAGCATGGCTTCCTTATTATTAACAGCGCAGGATTTTTGTTTTCTGAATTTTCTCTGATTCTCTCAGGTTATTGCTGTTGCTAAATCTTCAGACATAGTACTGATGGTTCTTGATGCTTCCAAAGTAAGTGCCATTTTCCATATTCTAATGCAGTCTTTCACTCTGTTGTTACTATTGCTAGTTGATAAAATGGTACGTTGGTTGTTGCAGTAAATCATATTCTAACAAGGGATAATAAGTAGCTAACATATTGTCGACTAATTAAACATTATCATTAAAGAAATCCTTTAAACGGGCCCAGGAGCTAAACTAGTGATCTTTTTATTTAGAAATTTACTCACTGCCACTTTTAATTTTTCTTTGTAAATATAAACTCACTTGCATAACAAAGTTCCATTATGATTAATTTTTTGATTATATATACATATATTTATCATTTTTCCATTACAATTATTATGAAGATAATGAAATTATAACTTTATTTGATCAATAAATTGATTTGTTCAAATATTTGTGCCACTATTATTTGAGTAATTCTTTCATGTTTTAATCTCTGTTATCAATTGTCATGTAGTTATGTTAACTATAGATTTCCTGACACTACTACAAAATCGAAAGTCAGTATAAAAGCATAAAAAGAAAATTAATGATTGTTAAATTGTCAATTTTGAAAACAAAAATGTTTCTATTAAGTATAGTTGTTGGATGTAATTTTTGGAGATTGGAGAAAACATGATATTATCTTAAAAAACAATTAAATGATAAATCAAAGTGTTTTACATAACAAGATTAAAAAGATGTTGAAATCCTTACCGATACAAAAAAAAAAGTGTCACCACAAATTGAAACTAGCATGTCATCTTTATTTTATATAAGAAACATATTTGAACTTTACAATCTTGAGACTCTTTGATTTAGAATCAACATAAATTAGTTGATATAAAAAGATTTAAAGGAAATAGAATTTGCAAAATAAAAAGAAAGAGGTGACGAGGAGAAAAAAAAAAGGATATGAGAGAAGGAAAAAGAAAAGAAAAGAAATCTTGATAGACTTAAAGCATACAAAAATAAAAACAAAATTTGTACACATGAATCAAAAATGTAAAAATAATATAGAAACTAAAACATAAAACACAACAACACATATGCATCTTGGTATCAATCATCGTTAACTACTTTTATCAGGCAAACACTTAAATACTTACTTAAAAACTAGAATGGGTAGTTAAACTTAAACTTATCAACTTAGATCTGGTCAACATTAAAGCATAAGAGTCATGGAAGTTTTTTAAAAACTTAAATGACTTAAAAAGTAATCACAACACATTATATTAAATCTTGATCACTTCAAATGTTATTGTGATTTACTTTTTACTCGCATACAAAAGACCCTCTCATTAAATATATCCTTATATACGTTGACAATCTTTTGTAGACTAAAAGGTTCTTATCGTGAAGTGTATAACAAAGTTCACAAAAAAAATGATGGTGAATTTGTCTCAACTAGGGCAAAGAAATTTATTGTATGTTATTTTATATTTTAAGATTGATTATGTACTTTTTTAACCTCTTGCTATTTCACTTATTTTTTTTATTTATTATTTGTAGGAAACATATGAAGAATCAATGACACAAAAATATGGAGAAGACACTTCATCTCATCCTGTAATTGATTCTGATCTTTGGTTAAAAGCTGCAGGTGAAAACAAGAAGAAAAGAGTGCATGGCATGGGACATAGCTTGGATCTTGGAACTAGTAGCTCTACCCAAGCTTCATCTCCAGAGGTTGCAGGTTCCTCTACAAATCTTACGCCTATGACAGAAGAACGGGTCACTACAGTTATAAATAATGCATTGACCTCTTTTTTGCAAACACAATTACCAGAGATGATGAGGCAAATAATTCAGGCAGTTCAACCATCAACAACACCATCAACCAACCAACATAGGGAGGATCAAGGACGAGATGATGATTTTACTAGCTTAGGTTGATTACTATTTAGGATGACTCGTTATTTGACCTCTTTTTGTAAGACATTAATTAGTTTGGGTTTCTTTAAGATAGTATGCACAAGTTGGATTTTGTAAGACATTTAACAATTTGGTTTTGTAAGAGATATTGTTACATGCAACTTTTATTTTAAATTATGTCGAATTGAAAAAAATTTATGTAGTTGAATTAACTGACATATCTACAGGGATTCATGAGAGAATAATGTATATATATATATATATAAATTAGGAAGGTTTCGCAAGATATTAGCGAGGGATTAGCGTGGTATTTGCGAGGGAACTCAATCCATATGCTTTGATGGATTTGCGTGGGATTAGCGAGAGATTTGCGAAGGACATATTTGCGAGGGATTAGCGAAGGATTAGCGAAGGACATATCTGCGAAGGTTTTGCGACATTTTAGCGAGGAAATATTAAATGTAATTAACGAGGGAATTTAGGTTCTACATTTGCGAGGCGATAGCGACGAATTAGCGGCACAAATTTGCGATAGACTAGCGAAGCTGGTTACGAGGGAAAAGCGAAGGAATGTAGCGAGGGAATTGCGGGGGATATGCATCCGTCGCTAATTAGCGACTTGAATTTAGTGAGGGAATAGTCCTTCGCAAATCCCTCGCTAGTCCCTCGCCATTTTGTTTAGCGAGGGATTTGCGAAGGATCTTTCCCTCTCTAATTCGCAATTTTCTTGTAGTGCTTGTTTTGGCCTTTTGTCTGTGGTCTGTATCATCTGAAGCTTGATCATTTTCCTTCTTGTGTTAAGCTTGGCTATGTTTGATCTTTTCATCTGCCTTCCTTTATCTTGATTCTGGTGTAAGAAGTGGCACATGCACTTTTCTTCATTTTTCCTGTACTTATATTTTTTTGAAACACTAACACACTCGTTAGAAATAACAACATGTATTATATTTGTCTCATTCAAAACCTTGTTGGAAATTGCTTCGTCTGACTTAACATAACCCTCAACCCTCTCTTAACTTCTCTGATTAAACTCTTTTTAACTCTAATTATAAAAACTGATGGAGGACCATCCTTGAAGACACATGTGGGCCCCATCACTAGATCCATGGCTAGGAGAGTTGAAGAGGAGGAGGGATCTCACACACCAAGGGACACTCTCCTCATGATCATAGAGTATTAGTTCTCTCCTAAGCCTCATTAGTATAGGGTTTATTTTATTTGCCAATTTTACTCTTGTATTTTGGGGTGCTTAGGACTGAGAATTTATTTTCTCTTGTATTTCCCATTTTACCCTTGTATTATGGGGTGCTCTAGATGATTAGGGTTTTAATTTGGGCTAGGGTGTTAAATTAGAAGGGTGACGCATTTTTTTGGTGCTCTTGTCTATTTTTGGTGTTAGAAAGGCTTAGGCCCAAGTGGAGGGCAAAGGTTGCATGGTCTTATCATGCACCTAGATATAGCCAATCTAAACCCAAAGATTCCATCCTTGGCCACCAAGTTGCATCTAGGGTTCATTTGCATTTCATTTGGAGTGCATTTGCCTTGTGAATTTTGGCCATGCATACTCCAAATGAAACCCTAGATGTCTCCCCTCCTATAAATACCCAATGCACCACACCTTGTAAATATTTTGGATTATATGATATTGAGTGAGCATTTTATGTCTCAAAATCCCATCCTTAGTCATTAGGTTAATTCGGCTAGCCTACTTCATTCTCCACCCTTGGAGAGTGAAACCCTAGAGTGGCCTTCATCTTCATTTTGGAGTGAGCCAACCCACCTTAGTTAATGTTGGTAAATTTATGAAATCTGCAATTGTGGGGTGGATTCAAGGGGGGTTTGTGTTGAAATTGGGGATTTGAGGTAAGGTTAAAATGTGATGATTTTCTTGAGTTGTTGTGGATGCATGTTGTTTTTCTTGGATTTTCTAAGTTGTATGATGTTAGTGTTGGAAGGCTTTTGGGTTGCATGCCTTGATCATTGCATGGGTTGAAAGGATTTGGAGATTTGAGTTGTTCATCTGCTTGTATGAGTTTACTAGGTTTGGGACGCTGAGCGTGATTTTTTACACTTAGCATGACAATTTGTGAGTATTGCTAGAAAGTTGGGACTAAGCGTGAGATTCTACGTTGAGTGTGAGAGTAAGTTGTGCCTCTAAAAGGTTGACGCTGAGTGTGAGATTCTACGCTTAGCGTGAGAGTGAGTTATGCCTCTAAAAGGCTAAGGTTGAGCATGAGTTTCTACGTTGAGCATAAGGACTTAGTTTAATAAATTTCTTTTCTAATTAAGTTGGTGGCTTACATGATGGATGAGTTTTATGTTGAAAGCTTGTTGTTTGAGTTGTATTATGGTTAAATGATGTTGAATAAGTTGTAGAGATGTGGTATGATGAGGAACATTATGTGTTGAATATGTTGTGTGTTGTTGGAGTTGTTTATATGTTGTATGTTGTTAAAGTTGTTTACGAGTTGTGCGTTGATCAATTATATGTTGAAAAGATGATATTGTTGAAGTATGTTAAAATTTAAGTTGTTAAAGTTGTTATATGTTGTGCGTTGACTGTGCATATATGTTGTGAAATATGATGAGATGATTTATTTGAGAGTTGTGAAGGGCATGATGATAATGTTGCTAAGTTGTTAGATGAGAGGGTATGTTGTTATAAAGTTGTATATGGTACTATGTGCTGAAAAGATGTTACTTTGTGATGATTGAGCTGTAAGTTGTGAGTTAAGTTGTTGAGCTATTGAGTTGACTATGTTGTTTAAAGTTGAATATGAGTAGTGATGATTGAGTTGTGAGATGTTGAGATACATGTTAAACATAGTGTTGTAAACGAGTTGTGAAGTTGAGTAGCTGTATAGAGATGATATATGAGTTGAAAAGTTGTGTGTTGACTGAGTTATTGTGCTAAAAATATAATGAGTATATATTTCAGTTGTTTAGTTATTGTTCCACAGTGTGATAGTTGTAATGACCCACCCTAGGTCGTCACATCCAGAACCAACCAAAATAAAATAATATATAATAAAGAAAATAGAGCAAGGACCATCCACGTTAGAGTGTAAATATACAATAACATATAAATTGTTACCAAAATATATAACATATTTTTATAGCAGAGTCATCATCCTCAGTAAGATTATACAGTAATCCAAAAAGATAACATCATGAAAATATAAGATAGACACCCTAGGTGCTGATCAAGCTCTAAGCCTAGCCACTTCTCAAAGCAGTTACCAAAAAAACTCCTTGCTATCCCAAAGTCTCACACCTAATCTGCTCCCCCATATAGTGAGATCATCACAGTCCACATCATGGAAATATAAGGGTTAGCACGTATAAAACCAACCATAGTATAATAAAATATCATTAAAATAGGAACGGGCCATTCCAGTTCTAAAACTTACGTAGATTTTTCGGGCCCAGAACGGGCGTTCCACTTTTGGAACGGGTCGTTCCGGGTTAGGTAAGGTAGAATTCTATAAATAGGGGCTGGGGTGTTGGGAAATTGAGAATTTGAGAGGAGGAGATCCTAGAGAGAGAAAGAGGAGAGAGAGAGAAAGAAAGAGAGAGGAGGGGAAAGAAAAGAGGAGAGAGAGGAAGAGAAATCCAGAGAAGGAGGTTATGCTAGGGGAAAGAAAAGAGGAGGGAGAGGAGGAGGTTCTTCCCTAGTTTCGATTCTTGTTTATCCAAGTAAGGGTAGTACTTATAAGACTTAATCTGGTATGTATGAGCATAATAGGGGTAGTATAATTTTTAATATGCTATTTTGTTTATATGAAGATTGTCATGTGTTTAAGTTGATGGTTGTTTTAGGATTTAATTATTTATGTTATTATATTGAATGATTTGGTATGGTTATGGAAAAGTTTGTATTTAATTATGGAATATGTTATATGTGTGTGGTTTGGAAAGCTAATAGAACTTAGAGGAGTAAGGTTATGGTATGGATTAGATCTCTTGGTGAGATCAGGATATAATCTTTGGAAAAATATGGAATTTGGGAATCCCATGAGTTCCATAGTCATTCCTCAACTCTGGAGTTGTGCGGACACTTCTTCTTCTTCCTTTTCTTTAACTCGAAGCTAGATTTTTTTTCCTTCAAGGTAAGGGAAGCTGGAATTTTGGGGTTTTGGGTTGAAAACGTAGGGCTGATGAATGGATTGAAGGTTAATGTTGGTAAATTTATGAAATCTGCAATTGTGGGGTGGATTCAAGGGGGGTTTGTGTTGAAATTGGGGATTTGAGGTAAGGTTAAAATGTGATGATTTTCTTGAGTTGTTGTGGATGCATGTTGTTTTTCTTGGATTTTCTAAGTTGTATGATGTTAGTGTTGGAAGGCTTTTGGGTTGCATGCCTTGATCATTGCATGGGTTGAAAGGATTTGGAGATTTGAGTTGTTCATCTGCTTGTATGAGTTTACTAGGTTTGGGACGCTGAGCGTGATTTTTTACACTTAGCATGACAATTTGTGAGTATTGCTAGAAAGTTGGGACTAAGCGTGAGATTCTACGTTGAGTGTGAGAGTAAGTTGTGCCTCTAAAAGGTTGACGCTGAGTGTGAGATTCTACGCTTAGCGTGAGAGTGAGTTATGCCTCTAAAAGGCTAAGGTTGAGCATGAGTTTCTACGTTGAGCATAAGGACTTAGTTTAATAAATTTCTTTTCTAATTAAGTTGGTGGCTTACATGATGGATGAGTTTTATGTTGAAAGCTTGTTGTTTGAGTTGTATTATGGTTAAATGATGTTGAATAAGTTGTAGAGATGTGGTATGATGAGGAACATTATGTGTTGAATATGTTGTGTGTTGTTGGAGTTGTTTATATGTTGTATGTTGTTAAAGTTGTTTACGAGTTGTGCGTTGATCAATTATATGTTGAAAAGATGATATTGTTGAAGTATGTTAAAATTTAAGTTGTTAAAGTTGTTATATGTTGTGCGTTGACTGTGCATATATGTTGTGAAATATGATGAGATGATTTATTTGAGAGTTGTGAAGGGCATGATGATAATGTTGCTAAGTTGTTAGATGAGAGGGTATGTTGTTATAAAGTTGTATATGGTACTATGTGCTGAAAAGATGTTACTTTGTGATGATTGAGCTGTAAGTTGTGAGTTAAGTTGTTGAGCTATTGAGTTGACTATGTTGTTTAAAGAGTTCCAAACCACACACATATAGCATATTCCATAATTACATACGAACTTT